GGCCTCTTGCCTCCCGCGCGGAACATCGTCGAGCCCGAGCTCTGAAACTGTAGAGACTGCGACGGTCGGGCCGCTGTCCCGAGCGGCCCTCCCGCCCTCCGAGGTCGTCCACGGCGACGGAGCAGCCGAGCACTGACCAGACCGACATCGAAGACGAAACCGACCGAGGCCGAGGGGCCGCAAGCAGCCCAGAACGGCGGGGCGGCGCGTCAACGAGACGACAGCCCTTGGGCCACAAAGCCCGACTGGAGCCTGTACCACGAAAATACACACAGACCCACACACACACACACAAACACACAAACAAACAAACAAACAAACAAACAAACAAACAAACACACGTACAAACACACACTCACACACACACACACACACACTCACACACACACACACGAAGAAGAAGAAGAAACCTGCCAAATGCATGCCCGGGCGCATGTTGGATATCAATACATGTAGCGCCTACACACGTTAGAGCCCGCGCCAATTGCACGCCGAGGCAAGTTTAGGACACCTCCCTTGGGCGCCTGCTCTCCAGCGCCTGCTCCCCCCTCGCGCACGTATTTTCACACATGCAGCATCCGCTGGCCACTCTGACGGACCCTACCATGCACCCCCCTTCCAGTCTAGGGCCAAAAAGCCCGACGACACGACAAAGAGAACCCTGGGCTGGAGCCCCTACTGGGAAAAAGCTGGCTGGTCTTAGCTAGTGATAGGAAGTACCAGGGGAGGAGCCTGTCACGCAGCAGCGCCTTGGGCGATGACAAATAAATCAGGTTCCAGGCCTGCTCGTGGGCGTCTTGGGCATTGAGATTATTTCACCGCCCGCTCCAAATTCTTCCCCAGCGGTTGTTCAGTCGTCCCTCCCCACACTATTGATCTCCCAATCGCAAATCTACAGAAGTTTGGCCAGCTGGGCTGGTCAGGCAGGCTTGGGGGGGAAGCCTCCCGCGGCCACCTGAGTTGGGACTTGGCCAGCTTGACTGTCCACGCTGGCCGGCTGGCGGGCCACGCTGGCTGGGTTGGCCAACCTGGCCAGCCCGACTGGACTGGCTGGGCGTCAGCGAGAGCGCCGCAGAGCTTCCGAGGCCACACAGATGGAAGACGAAAAAACGTCATACAGACCAACTTTTGGCGCTCCGCGCGGATTTCGCAGATGAAGAAGAAAAACGTCATAAAAATAAACTTTTGGCGCTCCGCGCGGATTTCTTAGATCTGCGCTGGACTCCCCTCCCTGGCGCGCGGAGCGCGCCAGGGGCGGCGCCGGAGGCGCCGCCGGGGGGGACCCAGCGCGGATCCGAAAAAATCCGCGCGGATCGCCAAAAGTTTATGTTCATGACGCGTTTTTTCCTTCTTCGAACAAAAGCTCTGGCCGAGTATGCAAACAAGTGGTACGAGTGCCCTGGCTCTTGCACCAAGGAGCTGCGAGGGACAGGAGGCTCTCGCCTCCTTCCTCCAGGAGTTTCCTTCAATGGCCGGGGGCGGGGGGGAAGGGGGAGGACGAACGACGAAAGAACGAACGACGACGACAGAAATAGGCCCGAGCTCCAGAACTCAGCTGTGCAAAAGAATCCGCCCGCCCCCTTGCGGGGCCACCAGGCTGCGAGGGTGAGGATTGCGGCTCCCTGCACCAGTTGCAGTTTCCAGTTTCCACTGTTGCAGTCCTGCCTTCTGCTTTCTTACTGCTAACTGTTGCTGAACGCGCGAGGGGGGGAGCCCCAAACCAGCTTTTTGCTACCACACCCAAATTGCGTTGTCTGAATTCCTGAGGGGGCGTGGGACACGTAAAAAGACATGATAAATGAACAAACTCTTGCGGGTGCCTCCGACGCTAAAGAGCAAACGGCCGCCTGGGCTGCGCCTCCCGGCGCCGCCGCCGGCAGCGCGTCGCGCCGTGCGCCGGGGGCCGCGAGCGGGTACGCCCTCGCGAGACTCGTGGGGGGCGCGCGGGAAGGGCGAGGGAAGGACACAAGCCCAGGGCATGTAGGAGGAGGAGGAAGAGGAGGAGGGGGAGGAGGAGGAGGAAGAGGAGGAGGGGGAGGAGGAGGAGGAGGAGGAGGAGGAGGAGGAGGAAGGATACGCACATAGACATATTAGTGCTGCACGTCCTCCGAACATATAAAACACCCACCTTGCAGTATCATATCGTTTCCCGAGCGGCGTGGCCAGAGAGCGCCCGCCACGACGCATATACTGTAAGATTTCTCGGTGCGCGCGTCGCTCCTGGGGGGCGACACACACACATATAGTATTAGTATGTTGGGGTGACGCCGATGATAATGTTATATTCTGGCATTAGTACGTTATGTCCAGAGAATATACATTTAGAGGCCAGGGCTCTGGGCAGACTGAAGGAAAAAGCACGGTCCAAAAAATCTCCAGAAATCTCCAAAACCTCCGAAAACTTCCACGAAACTTCCAAAACTATAAGCAAGAGCGGTCAGGATCGAATCAGGAAATCAGGCTGCATCGGCAAGGAGTGAGAAGCGGATCAGATCGGCCACGCCAAAATGCACGGCAGCGACGCGCAAGCATCCAGCCGCATCTGATCGTCGGCGCACCGGAACCGAATCGGATCGGATTGAAAAGATCGAGACAGACCAATGGTGACCCGGGTCACAAACTCGGGTCTCCGGCGACCGTTCGGGACGACTTGGCCAGACCAGGAACGCTCTCGGCGAGGCGCAGCTGCGGAGACGCATCCAGAGTTAGGTCGGGCATGTCCACCTACAGGCAGGTTTTGGACGAAAAATACAAAGTTGTCAAAATCAAACAAAAATGGTAGAAAAATCATCCCCTGACTAGTTCTGAGTATGTTTGAGTATTCCTCCTGTAGAGGGGCGGACATGCCCGACTTAAATCCAGAGGCAGGTAAACCTCCAGGAACCACCGAAAACGCTCGAAAACCTCGAAGCCCGAAAACCTCGGACCTGCAGCCTTCGATCGATCGCATCAGACTACCCGAAAGTGCAATTTCCCCTAGGCCATAGGCGACCCGAGGAGGAGGAGGAGGAGGAGGAGGAGGAGGAGGAGGAGAAGAAGGGGGAGGAGGAGGAGATGGAGGAGGGGGAGGAGGACGAGGAGGAGGGGGAGGAGGAGGACGGGTCGCCTAAGCCCTTCGGAGAAACCCTCCACCCGAAAAAGCCTTCGACGCTGGCCGAGCTCGTGCTCCAGGCCACCCTGAGAGAACGGGGCAGGCCGCGGACAGGCCACAGGCCCGCCGCTGGCCGCACCCGCTACGGCAGCCGGGCGTGCGGGTTCAGGAGGGCGAACGCGGGGGTCGTCGCGACCCTGCGCTCCCCGGGGCCGTCTGGCTCTGCCGGCCGCTGCGCTGCAGCCTCTGCCTCCCTGCGCCTCGCGCTCGCAGCTCGCTCCACTCCCTGGTCCCGCTGCTGCTGCTCCTTCTGCTCTCCTCCTCCTCCTCCTCCTCCTCCTCCTCCTCATCATCATCACCATCATCACTATCATCACTATCATCAGCATCAGCATCAGTAGCAGACTCGTCCTGTCTCATTACCATCGTCATCACCATCATCGCCATCACCACCACCACCGTGGTCAGAACCAACACTATCATCATCATCACAAGCATCAGCATCATCACCGCCACCACCATCACCATCACCATCACCATCATCAACCTCATCGTCATCCGAATCCATCTATTACCATAGTCATAATTGTCCTCCTCCTCCTCCTCCTCCTCCTCCTCCTCCTCCTCCTCCTCTTTCACTCTCTCCTACTCCGTCTCCGCCTGGTCCCGAAGGAGCGACCCCCCCCCCCGCCCGCCCGCAGATGTTGCCCTCTCTGGCTACCCGCACGTAGCCGCCCTGGTTGGAGATCGGCAAGCATACACAAACGGGGCCTGGAGCGAGGCAGGACCGCCCGTCGTGGATCCGTGCTTCTCTCCACGGCGCCCGGATGCGGAGGGCCAGCATCAGCCAGCATCGAATCGGAACATCGGATCGGATCGGAACGTGCATCGGAAGGGCCGCATCGGCACGGAGTCGAGCCCAGATCGGATCGGCCGCGCCAGGCTGCACAACAGCGCCGTGCAGGCGTCGGGCCTCATCGGATCGGTTGGATCGAAATTGACCCTGGAGGGGTGGTTAGAATCCGCCGACCCTGTCGGCGTGTGCAAGGGGCTTGGCTGTTCGAGTCGTCGTCTCCGTCGGTCGTCGCCTCCGTCGTCCCCTTTCCCTGCAGCTTCCTTCTCAAGCTCGTGAGCGAGAGAAAAATCTAGCAGTGTCGTAATCGAGTCGAAGGGAAGCCCCTTCCCTTTGATCCCTTCCCCGGGGGGGGGGGTCCCGGGGAGGGGTCCCGGGGGGGGTCCCGGGGGGGGTCCCGGGGGGGTCCCGGGGGGTGGGGGGGCAGATTCGTTTTTCCTCGGGCGGCCTAGAAACCTCGAAAACACTCCAAATGAGGTCCGAATGCCCAAGATGGCCCCCGAGACGGCCCAAGAGGGCCCCGAGTCGCCCAAAGATCGGCCGAAAACGCCCAAGATAGCCCCAAGACCGTCCAAGAAGCCTCCAAGACGTCCCAGGCCCCCTCCAAGAGACCCCCAGGAAGCCCCAAGAGGCCCCCACGAGGCTTCCAAGCGGCCCCTGAGAGCTTCCCAAGAGGCCCACAAACTACCCCCAAGAGGCCCCCAAGAGCGCTCGTCGTCGTCGTCGTCGTCGTCGTCGTCGCCATTCAGGGTCGGCGGCACTGGCCGTAAGGCCTTCGCAATATGCTGATCAGCGTGGACCCTAAACGGCGTGTTTCTAGCAATCAACGGTGTGCCACATGTGCTGTGCCATCTATGCTGTGCAATCGATGTAGTGCGATTGTTGATACGCTATGTGTTGTATTACGTATGTGTCATAAAATGGGTGCGTACATACATACATGTATACATAACTTTCTGTATATATAGAAGGAGATTGTGAAATGTGTTGTGTGCTCCCTATGTTGTGCAATACATGTTGTGCCTTATGGTGTATGCAGCACATGTGGTGCAACATATGATGTGCAATGTACGTGGTGCCATGTATGTAGTGAAACTTATGTGGTACAACCAATGTTGTGCAATAGATGTGAAGCAGTATATGTAATGCAATAAATGTTGCGCAGTAGGTGTTTGCCATACGTTGTGTGCCACCTACGTAATGCAATACATGTTGCGCAATCGATGTGGTGCAACACATGGATTGCAGTCGATGTGGCACTATCTATATTGTGCCATCTATATGGGGCAAACTGAATATATATGGTAAAACCTATGTGGTGCAGTATATGTGTTGCAATCCATGCGGTGCACCGACAGACAGGCCCAGACGACAGGCGGCGACGGGGCGGCGACGGAGACAACATAGCCGCCAGACAGGCCCGCAGGCTTAGACATTGGGCGGCCGCGAGGCGGCGACGGGGCGGCGACGGCGACTAGTTACTTAGCGGCCAGACTGGCCCTCATGCCCAGTTCCGTATTCCAGAAGTAAGAACCGCGAAGTGCAAGCACCGTTTGGGAAATAAGAGAAATTACTAAGCATTAACTTCTCGAGATCCGTGCGGATTTTTTGGATCGGTGCTGGAACCCCTGGCCCATGCCGCGCTCTGCGAGCCAGAGGCGAGGGCTTCGGCGCCGATTCAAGACAAACCCGCGCGAGCCTCCGAAAGTCTATGCTTGTGCCGCTCTGTTCTGCCTCGGCAGACGGTGGCAGTGTACAATTGCAAATTTCCGGGGAGACAAGAAAATACTAATTCAAGGGAGACGCAAAATTCGGGTACGGGGCACTCGGGTTGGCCAGACGGGGGCATCATAAAAAAGACGAGACCCAATCTGAAAGTTGACGCGAGCTCCCGCTGCAGACATCCCACGAAAACCAGACCGTCAAAATCCAGGACGCGCTGATCAAAAAAACGTCGGCGAACCCGAGTTCCGGCTTACTCGAGTCTTACCAGATACCGCTACTCCACAAACCTCTCCCAGAGTGCGTCCTGACCAAAATTTCGAAGCGAATCCCGCCGTGGCGCCAGGGGCCTCCCAGGAGGCCCACAAGGGCGAAAACGAAGCAAGAGTTGCGGTTTCGGCGCCCTGGCCTCATCTGAGCGACGTAAAGCAACGGGTCTCACGCGAGATGGCATAGCGACCCCACGCGGTGGCTTACGCGGGCCGCCGGCGCGGCACGTCGCATTGGAAGCGAGCGCGCTCATGCGCGACCTTACGCGGGCAGCTTACGCGCGCAAGTCAGCGCAGTCGACTTCGTTTTCTTCCGTCGCCCGTCTGTGTGCACAGCTGCACAGTTGCCGACCTCGCCCCAGTAGGACGACCAGCTGTTGCGCAGGAGCCAGTACGTCTGCCCGGGGAGGGCGCCCCGCCTGGCCGGCCGCGGGAGAGGGGGCGGCGGCGGCAGCGGGGTCTTTCCCGCCTTGTTACACCCCTCGACCTGGAACAGAAATCCAACGACCCCGTCGGCGTGCGGAAGAGGCTGTTCTGTTTGACTCGTCTTCGTCGTCGCCGTCGTCGTCGCCGTCGCCGTCGCCGCTCCCTATCTTTCCCTGGGCCCGTCGCCGCTCGCCCCTTCTCCTGGGCCCTCCTCCTCAAGCGCGCCAACCAAAACGAAATTGAGCAACGTCGCAATCAAGTCAAAGGGAAGCCCCCTTCTGTTTGATCCCTTCCCCGCCTGGGGGGGGGTCCTCGGGGGGTGGTCCCCGGGGGGGGGTCCTGGGGGGGTTCCCAGGGGGGGTCCCGGGGGGGTCCTGGGTCAGAATACCATCCCTCCCTGGGGGGGCCTGGGGCCCCAAAAAATTCCAAGACGAGCCAAGAGTGCCCCAAGAGGCCCCCAAGACGGTCCAAAAAGACCCCGAATCGCCGACGATCGGTCCAAGACGTCTTTACGGCCTCCACACGGCCCAAGAAGGCTAGAAGACGCCCCAAGAGGCCTCGAAGAGCACTCCCAAGAGAGTCCCAAGAGGCAAAATTCAATGATTTCCCGTAAGTTTTTCAGGGATTTGGGCGTTCTCGCCTTCTCAGCTTCCCCACGCTCCGAAACTGTCTAAGGGGCTCCAACGATCGCCCCAAAAGGCCTCCAAGAGGGTCCCGAAACGAGCCAAAGAGGGCCCGAAGACGGCCCAAGCCGCTTGCAAGACGGCTCAAGAGGCCCCCAGAGGGCTCCAAGAGGGTGCACAGACAGGGGAACCAACCGGACTTGTCGAGCCCTCGGCCCCGAGAGGCTCCCAGGAGGCCCCAAGAGGTCCCCAAGAGGCCCCGAGGAGGCTACAAGAGGCCCCCAAGAGGCCCCCAGGAAGCGCCAAGAGGCGCCCAAGAGGCTACCAAGAGGCCTCCAAGATCTCCCAAGGGGCCCCCAAAACTGCCTCCCAGAGGCCTCCGAGAGCGCTCCGATGAGACCCCAAACAGAATCCCTGAGGACTCTGACCCACGTCAGCGTCGTCAGCGTCGTCGTCGTCATCATCGCCGTCGCTGTCGCCGTCACTGTCGCCGTCGCCATCGCCGTCGTCGTCGCC